TGAACCCAAGTTTGATTGTTGTTCTAGAAAGTGGATCTCACTTATCCTGATTCAAGTTAAATATCTGGATGTGGTGATGTTTGGAGATCAGGTGGCCACGGTAATCGTTGTTTGATATTGGACACCACCAGGAGAATATTTCACACAGAGCCCTGGGGATCCACGGTGCGTTTGTGTTGAAATAGCCAGAAATACAAAATGTGTTTCCGCCCCTTGTGTTTTTTCTGGGAGGGGTGCAGTTGCCCCCAGCAGAGTACAACATTTTTTCCACATTGTAACAAAAAACACTTGCTCCTCTTGTAGACTTTGGCCTTAGGTTACATGAAACAGCATTAACAGGACTAGGTGTGACCCAACTTCACATTTCAAATATGAAGGGAATGTGATTTCAGTTTATTGTTGATTTAAGTTTTGTTTGCTCTGTCTTTACACTTAAGCTGATGTTGCTGCACCATGTTGCTGCTTGTGGAACTCTAAAGAAGTGTCTTTCATAGACTTGCTTCCTGTTGCCTGGCAGGTAAACATGTGAGAGTGATAATAAGGGCTAACTCTGTGAACATTTTAATGAACTGACGTAAAATGAAATGGGACAAACATGGCACTTTGTCTTCTTTCTACTGTTAGCTGCCTCTTTTGGCTCCATCCTTCCTCACTTTAGTGTTTATGAATTACGTGAAGTTTACCGTGTTTGCTGTGTACACAAAGTTTCCTAAGAAGATAGTGTTGTCCAGGTCGGGAGAAATTCTTGCATCTCTCTCAACAAACAGAGGATATTTTTTGACTGACTTTCTGAGCTTTGTGTTTGTGTAAACACCATGAGAGAAAACATATAGTGACGGCTGGTGATCCCTGGGGAGAACCCTACTGTTTATATGGTCTTCCAATCCACTTATTGGCTGCTGCTAAATTACTTTTTCCTCTTACACCTTTGTCTTGCAGTAAATAAGGCAGCAAATAATAATTGATTATTGATTAAAGGTAGTGTTGGGGATTCATTTGAGAAGCATTTTTTGTTACATATCTTGAAATTCTCTTTTCATACCAGCGGCAATGAATAAAATAAATGCACTGACATCAGAAAGAAAAAAAATCTATCATCTGTGGCAGCAGCAGAGCTGAAACAAGCCTGACCGTGTGATTGCATGTGCATGAGAGTATGTGGAAAGCGTGAGTTCCCCTTAACTTCCTACTTGCACTCCTTCACATAAAAATATTGATTACTGCAGCTTTAAATGTGTTGTTGAATAATCTTTAAGAAGATTATTCATCTGATTATTTGTGCACGTCTACTTTCATTCTCTTTATAAAAGCTTGCTGTGCGGAATTACGCGAGTTCCATTATCAAGCTTAGTTGATGACAGGCAGGTATGAGCTTGAATAGCAGGCACTTTTTAACATGCACTATGGAAGCCAGCTGAAGCAGTGGTGTAATAAAGGTTTTGTTTCCACAGTCGCTGTGCACTGTGAGAAGCAGAGCATCAGGTGGGTGTTAGAAGGGAGAGGCTGACCCCAGAGAGTTTCATTGCAGTGGTGGGATTGTGTTTGATTTAGTCCAGCAGATATGATGTATTATTGCTGCAGTCAGGATCATCTGGAGCTTATGGAAGAAGTTGCGGACACAGCAGTGATGTGATGTGGACTCCACAGTGATGCATAAATGAAACATCATGTAAGCACAGGTCTGCTGCAGGCTCGTGAAATCCCCTACTCCATCCATCCATGCCTTTCCTCTAATGAGACAACTCGAGTGCTCCACATATTCATGCTGCACTGTGTGTGTGTTTGTGTGAAAATGTGATGTTCTTTTTCCACAGATGTGTTATTCACATAAAAATGTAGTGGATGTGAGTGTTAACTTGAATAATCTTGAGTCTTGATCCTCATGGAGAACATCTTTGAGAGTAAAGAATGATTTTAATTGTTAAAAGTTTAATTAAAACATGATTCAGAGGGTACGGGTTAGCAGGGCAACTGAAGCTAATTGAAATGCAGCCTTCTGTCGTCATGTAACCTGCGGTCAGTGACCTGTGCATTTTTGCTGTATTGTATATTTGCATTTCCATACAGCACAATAAAGAGTTTGTAGAAGAAACTTTACTCAAATGTTTGTCACCCTTAAATTCTAGAATTGTACAACCTGCGTCTTACTGTCATAGTTTTAGCTAGTGTGGGCACAAATGCTCAGTTGGACGCAGCTTTCCAGTACAAGGCTTCACAACCTTAAAACATGAATTCAGTTTGATCTCTGTTTCACATCCTATAGCTTAACAGTATCTGCAAGTAGCTCTATATAACAAAGGTTTAATAAAATGTCGAGGCAACTAAATTCTGTGTTTCAAATAACCGCTTCACTTTACTGTTTAACTACAAGCCATTTGTTTTCATTTGCAAAGCTTTTGCCAGTGGAGTGATCTTGTCCACTATCTCTGCAATGATACTGTGTATGCAATGTTACTGTAACCAAATGGGAACACCATCTATAATATGAAGACTTTGGTGTAAAGAGAGGGGATCGCCCTTCCACATAATTCTTACATATACTCATAAGGTTAATTAAGTTCCCTAGTTTTGTTTGAGTTGTCAAACTTTATCAAGAATTCCTACAGGCAATAAGTGTGCACACATGCTGATACTCATCATATGGCATATAGTTAGACATATTGTGCATCTGACCTCTTAAGCATGAGCTGTAAATCATGCTTGATTGTAGACCAGCCCTGTCAGAAGTGGAAATCCCCTCTTTAGCTGCAGTGAAATGAGGAAATTGCCATGATTCATATGGTTTTGTGTGGTATGTGCATATGTGGGTGTGCACATGTACATTGTGTAGGCAATGGTCATTCTCTGCACAGCTGCTTATATATAGTGTCTATGGCGATATGCTGCACAACATTAAAGCAGGGAACTGTGGAATAGTGTTTTCTTGAGTTTGAGAGGAAAAGCGACTGCCTGGGCTTAATTTAAAGCTTTACATGCACAAGGAAAATACTGATTTATTAGAGAGACTTGGCAGAATATAAGAGTCTTAAATAGAATAAGACTTATTTGTTGTTGTCTTATTATGACTATTATGTGTTATCAGAGGGCAGCACGGTGGCACAGTGGTTAGCGCTGTTGCCTCCCAGCGAGAAGGTTCCGGGTTCGGGCCCCACCCGGGACCTTTCTGTGTGGAGTTTGCATGTTCTCCCCGTGCTTGCGTGGGTTCTCTCCAGGTGCTCCGGCTTCCTCCTACTGACCAAAGACATGCAGCTTAGGTTGATTGGTGTCTCTAAATTGCCCATAGGAGTGTATGTGTGGTTGTTCGTCTATGTGTTAGCCCTGCGATGGATTGGCGACCTGTCCAGGGTGTACCCCGCCTTTGCCGGATTGGCTCCGGCCCTACCCGTAACCCCGTTCAGGGACTAAGCGGTAGAAAATGAATGAATGTGTTATCAGATACTTAACAACAACCACAGTTTATATATATATAATAGGCACATCTAGAAATTTTATATTAAATATTTTGTTTTGCCATAGGTATAAATCCAGGTCAGCAGTTGAAACAGTACCCTGTACAGACAAAATTTATTTCAGGCGTGTTTCCTGCTCGTAAGAGTTTATACAGTTATGATGTACAATCATTTTATCCCACAGTCACAGCAGTATATAAGTGTCAACAATAAGTCTTTTGAATGTATTCCTTATATTCATTTCCAAAGCAGAGTTTACTCACAGTAAATAAAAAAGAGGTGAAAAAGCACGATTTTGATTGTATATGTTGACTTATGGTACTTGTGCACAATAAATGGTCACAGCAGTGATGTCCAACACAGTTGGTTCTTATTCTTTTTAAGCTTTTACTCATATGAATGATATTTCATTTGTTATAGAACTCCTCTTAAACTACTCAAAATAGAGAAATGCTAAATCCTCAGGGAGAATATTTGCCTAATATCATGGTAATACTCAGACAACAGCAATAAGAGGTGGAAAAACTGTCCTAGTTTACTGGTGAACAACTAAAGGCTTCTCTGCTCTGGTCAAAATCTCATTAACAGAAAAATCCCACATTGACACAGAGCAGCCCCTTCTTCCCTTTGTGCATGTGTGTGTGTTTGCAAGCATGCATGTGTGCTCTGTGTGTATTACCATTGTCTGTGCAGTATCAGTAAAGCAATGCTTCCACTTGCAAAATAGCATCTTTCTCAGCTTGTGAATACTTTCCAGTGAGGGAGACATAGCGTTGTGGTGATCTCACAGGACTAAGGGCAGATATGGGTTCTGCCTGCACTGTAGGGCCTTTGTCTGGCAGCAGGCTGAGTCAGGCCAAGTGTGCTGTCGCAGACTCGAATAATTCAGAGCCAAAGATGAAAAATGAGAAAGAAGAAATGGAGGCAGACAGAGATCCCCTAGATCATGTTCAGTTTGGTGACCTTTGAA